CAGCACCCTGGATCCTCTACAATGGCCACTGCTTTTACCTTTATCGTAATGAAACAAAAAAATGGTCTGATGCTCAGAAAGCTTGCCGTAAAGAAGGAGGAGACCTAGTAAGCATTCGTAATGTGGAGGACCAAAGCTTCATCATCTCTCAACTTGGATATGGTATGGCAATAAAAACTTCTGAGCACCATTTGCATTCCTTTAACACAGTGGTTCTTAACCTGGGTTCGATCGAACCCTAGGGGTTCGGTGAGTCGGTCTCAGGGGTTCAGCAGAGCCTCCACCGTGACATGGACGGCTCATTTTGTGCACCAATATCCCATATCTATGTCTTGAATTTGAAAAAAATCATATTTTATTTTTCACTAAAGAAGGGTTCAGTGAATGCACATATGAAACTGGTGGGGTTCGGTACCTCCAACAAGGTTAAGAACCACTGCTTTAACATAACCTTCACCCAACACTTTTCATATTTATGCAATTTTTATGCAATTGCTGGTGAGTAACTGAAATATTTTTGAGGCACGATCTAATATGATTGTGTTGGTATGCTCCTGGATCAACAAAAGTAATGTTTGTCCAGTTTCAACATTGCAAGTTATCAATCACATTGCAGTGATGTCATAATGTTGTGATGTGGAAACACCATCACACCACACACCAAACCCTAACCCTACACCCCAAACCTTAACAATGATCACATACTAATGCCGAACGCAAGTTTTTTCCAAGTTGCAAAGTTGTGAAATCATAACAATGTTATTTGTCATATACAGTGTGGATCCTAGACAAACCTAGACAAACACGTTGATCTAAGAAAAAGACCAACAATTCAGTTTTATGTAATTTATATACCGCAAATCACAGCAACAGTTACCTCTCTGAACCATAGTCAAGGGGCTTGGAAGCTGAATGATGTGCTTCCCTTTCTAAGTTTAAGTTTACTGTAGGAGCCACAAGTAAGCCAGCAGGCTGGGAGCGAAGTGCTCTAATAGGGTGATAAGGTCATTAAGACAAGATGGTGCCAGATTATTCAAGACCTGGTACGTAATGAGAAGGATTTTAAATTCAGTTCTGGATTTAACATGATTATATCAGATAGTCCATTTCTGAGAACACATTTAACCTCATAAAACTAAAGTCAAAAGATAAAAACAAGAAGTCAGGTGATTGAATATTGAACAAATTTATGCTCCTTTATACTTCAGCCCTAAATTCACTTCAATCCACTTAACTGAAAGATGTAAATTCCACATAAATATCAAGTTAACTGTTAAAGTTCCAGGAAGTGTTCAGCTTGTAATTAAGTCATTAGAAGTTGTCTCTCCTTAATTTATAAAATGTCTAATTTGAACATCACACTGAAAAGTTAAAAACACACTCAAACACAGATATTAATGAATATCTTATTTTATAGCTACACACATAATACAATTGTGAGCAATCTATTCTTGGAAATGTACAGCAGTCCACCACCTTCAGAAAATCCAGGGCTCTCACCACAGCTAATAGTCACTTCAGACCTACCATGCAGACTACTTCTTTAGAATAATGACCGTTTATTAGTCGGTCACTTTGGGAATCCTGCTATTTTGGACATAAAACTAGGTTTTTATTTTTGTCACTTCATAAGCATTCAGTCACTTTCTGTTGACTGATCCCTGTATCGCTGCACATCTCACATATGATGAAGTTTGTTTACAAGTCCAGCAATTCTGGCAGACGATTAGCAGCAGTCTAAAACTTAAGTGCAAAAGTAACATCTAAAGAGTAGCAAATGAGCAGAATTTATCAAGAAGATTATACAACAATTAATGTTATTTTCTGTCTGCAGCATCCACTGATGAACTCTGGATTGGACTAAATGATAGGAACAGAGAGAGGCTGTTTGTCTGGAGTGATCATTCTCCTGTGAGTTACACTAGCTGGGACTCTTGGGAACCAACTGTCACCTCTGAACAAGAAGACTGTGTTCTTATCAGAGGGGAGGTAAGGTGCACAGTGTGGGAGTGATTATTGATGATTGTGACACGCCAGCTTTTTTCTGTAAAACTATGCAGTTCTGTTAAAGAACACTGGATGCCAGGAAGGTCCATTAATATCCAGGAAAATTAGGTCTTTGTTTTATGATATGCACCGTAGCCTGTCTATCTCTTGTTAATTTCAGTTTCCACTTGAATTTTGTTCTTTCCATTCTTGCAGAATGGAAACTGGGCTGACCGTGTGTGTGATGAGAAACATGGCTTTATCTGCATGAAGACAAGTGACTCTGAAACCTCTGGAGATGAAGTGGAGCTGAACGCAGGCTGCAAAACTGTATGTGAACTTTTCAGATATTTTCCAAAGAATGTCTGCATCTGGTTGGTCTGAATGCACACATTCTGTTATCTGTTTCTGTTTTGTAAAGGCTGTTGTATATTTCAAATGGCACGATGTCTAAATTTAATTTTGTGCCTGTGGTCCATGAAATATCTAGGAAAGCAGCATACACATAAGGTATGATGCCTAATGAAACATTGTATTTGGGTGCTGTTTATAGTAAAAAGATTAAGAGAACATCTTATTTAGTCATTGCATTTTTAGGAAAAAAAATCATTCCTGTAGAGTAAACAAGTAGTCACACTGATGCAGTGTGATTCTGCATTCTGGTGTTTTACTCCTTGCTATCACAAAAAGACAGAAAGACAACATTTAACGACAGGCTTGAATAGTTTTCCAACTGTTGTTTTTCTGCAATGCAGGGTTGGAAAAGACATGGATCCTACTGCTACTTTGTAGGGGCTGAGACAAAGACGTTTCATGAAGCCAACGATGACTGCAAGAGCTCAAACTCTTACTTAGCTGATGTTTCAACTGGGTAAAATAGTTTTCATTTAAAAAAAGTATATGTAATTTTGCATCAGGCAGCCTCTAATGTGACTTGTGTAAATATTTCCAGGGTGGATAATTCTTTCCTTGTAAGCTTGGTGGGGCTGAGGCCAGAGAAACACTTCTGGATAGGTCTCTCAAACCTGAAAAACAGAGAATATTTTATGTGGACCAACAATGCCTATGCAAGATATACTCACTGGAACACTCATATGCCAGGTAATGAAACAATCTCATGATCTATATGTAAACTATAGTTGGCAGGTCTCTTCACAAATGACAGCTAACATTTTCTTTTATAACACAAGGTCATGTGCAGGGTTGTGTTGCTATGGCAACTGGGCATTCTGCTGGCCTTTGGGATGTGTTGCCTTGTACCAATAAGGAAAAATACATCTGCAAACACCTGGCAGAGGGGGCAGCTTTAACCCCTGCTCCACCAACCACTGCCACGCCTAACTGCACAGATGGATGGATTAAGATGCAATCCAGAGGCGTCTGTTATAAGGTACTGTGGCTGCCACAGTGGTACATGACTTAAGTATTCTGCAGTCTCTATTTTTCACAAGCCCTTTACAAACAGTAGAGTTATCAAGAGCATCAGTATAGTAGCACTATAAACAAGTAAGTTACCCTGAGCTCCTCCTGATTCAAGGCAGTAGCAGAGGACCAATATTAACTGGTTTTTTTAAAAGAATAAACGGGTAAAGACATGTCCGATGTTATTTTACTCAGAAAAATTATTGAAACTAGAATGCGTTGTGCTGCTATAAGCCCCAAAAAACCAAACAAATAAAGAAAAGCCTCACAACCTTGTGATCAGTTTTATGTAGGAAATATTTCATTCCAACCAAACTACACTTGTCATTTGCATCATTTATGCAAAAGAAAGTATGCATTGACACGTGACAAGAGGCTTCTATTTGTGATAACATCCCAGAATGTAAATATAGATGGTATTCCTCTTAGCTTAGCTGCAATATCACCGTTTGGATTGCAGAGCTAACTTCAAAACTGGCCCCCCCAAAAAAAAAACAACCAAAAAACTTCAGTGAAATAAGCAGAGGAAAAACATGTTAATTTTGTTTTGAGTGCGTGTCCCATCAATTTCATACTTTCCTTTTTGTTAGTAATTTCTGATCATTTCTGCACAAGGGTTTCTGTCACTTCCCATCTCATAATCCTTTCTGTTGTAGAAGGATATGATTATTCTATTGATCTTATTCATAACAAGGATGACATAAAAACAGAGATGACTGCCCATGTTTAGCATGTAGTTCTAAATGTACAAATATTACCAAAGCTTTAGATCACAATTCAGTTTCTTATATTTTCTTTAAGATCTTTTCAGAGGCTTCAGAAAAGAGAAAGACCTGGTACGAGGCTAGAGATTACTGCAGAGCCATTGGAGGAGACCTAGTCAGCATTCACAGCGGTGCTGATTTACTACAAATGCAATTTTCGTGGTATGGTGTTATCTGGTCTACAATCAGAGCTACATAAGATAAAAATCTTTTGTAAAGTACACCTCCAGTCTAAGTCACACATTAGTGGCAGTCATAGATTCTTATCATTCTCAAGCAATGAGTTGTGTATAAGCATAATCACTGATAGAAAAAAGGAAACATGTTTTTACAAAATATTTATACATTAATAACTAAATAAAAGGTCTTTGTAAAAGAAAAA